TTGGGTATAAAACAGTAGATGGAAAAATCAATGTCTCTCCGTGGAGAATCCCACAGGAGTCTCAGAAACAGTCACGGATCACTGCTTACCTGAAAAGGAGATGAACTGTGGAAACACAGTAAAACATTGAGTTAAGAAATTACCACTAGCCACAAAAATAAAAGTAAAGTGAGTTGTTATAAGTCAGGAGCTGAGGCAATACCTAATGGCTTTTAGGGAGATGCTCCTAATCATACCAAGCAGACATCCCTGGTCAGTCAGATAACAGTGCGCTATGGGCAATACCCTCCTACCTACGCTGACTGGACCATTCAAACATAAGTAAGGCGGGAACAGTATTGACTGGACCATTCGAACATAAGTAAGAACCAATAAAAACTGCACAAGTTGTATGATGGCAAATTGGAGGACTGCCAAAAAATGAGGATAAAAAGGGAGCCCTAATGCCGCTCTCCATCCTTTCAAGGATCATGCCCTGGTGCATTTAAACCACTGGGAGTGGAAGAAAGAAGAGCGGAGCTGAACTGAGCTGTCACCGAGCTGTCACTGAAGAGATCCTGACCCGTTCCTGACCTGTTCCAGCCACAGCTCTCGGAGCTGCACCTGTTCCTGAGCGGCCTTAGCTGCTGTTCCTGGGTGGCCTTAGCCGCATGAGCTGTCCCGTTCCAGTCTTGTTCCTGTCTAATAAAAGTTGCTGTAACACTTTCAGCCTTGCAGCCGAGTAAAGGGCCCGGTGTGTGTGAACCTCCGGATCTCCACACATCCGGAGCTGAAGAGGCAGCCCGCTACTCTGCATGGAGCAGGTAACGGCACAAGCCGACCTGCAGAGCTGTTCCTGAGCTATACTACCCCACTGTCTGTGTGTGTGTGTGTGTGTGTGGCCCAGTGCGAGCGAACCTCTGGATCTCCTCGCACTTGGAGTCAAAGAGCCAGCCCGCTAGGTTTTGCTACGTGGAACAAAGCGACTACGGGATCAAGAGGCCATCTGGAGCTGCTGCCTTGCTGTCCTGCCACCATGTCTGACCAGCCAAGATGCCGTCTCACCGCCCTGCCTGGAGTCCTTATCAGCTTACTGCCGGACCTGACCACAAAGCTGGACCAGGCCTCTCAGCAGGGGATCTTTCCAACTTCTCGCCTGGCCGTCCGCCTGGGAACTTTGAGCCTACTGCCCTGAGTGATAACCTTCCCATGACTTCCTGCCTGTAAGTGACTGGTCCGAGTTCCGTCCCTGCTAGGACATTGAACTCTGGACACTGGACACTCCCCGCAGGAGAAACACATTCGTGACAGTGATGCAAGCCTAGATACATAGCAAACCAATGTTATGTATTGGATCTTTTTGCAGTGCTTGTATTGTTCATTGTGATAGTACTTAAGACTATTTTGATAGTGTTTGTTGTGACTTGTGGTATAATAATATTGATTTCCTGGCAGATAAGTGATATTGTTAAGATTGGGTAGATGTATTAAGTTAAGTGGTTAAGTTAAGTAATTAAGTAGTTAGGTTAAGTAGTTAAGTGGTTAAGTAGTTAAGTCACATTAAATAGTACTGTTAAGTTTATTGATAAGTGTATTAAATAGTATAGATTGATAAATATATTGATACTGATAAGTGTATTGACCCCAGTGAGCATGCTGATGAGTAGTGTGATATAAAACCCCTGGTGTGTCCCCGGTGTGTGAACAATAAAATTGGAAAAAACAGTCTGTGTCCGTGTGTTCCTTTCTTCCCCGTGACTGATAAGTCGTACGTTGCACTTGCTACTGTTAAGCTACGCGACAGTAGGCACACGACACTCTCTCCCTCTCTCTAACTTTGCCTTTCAAATAAATAAAATAACTCTTCCAAAAAATATTGTGTCAGAGATAAAGCAGTGAGTAAGGCAACATATGCATGATTCTCACAGAGCTTATATCATCCAGATACAGGGTAGGGAACAGACATTGCACAATTAATCAGAAGCATGTGGATTACTGCAAAGGAAATTACTATACCACTGTGTAAATGCATGACAAGGAGAACTTTATCTAGTCCGGAAGCTGGGAAAGGCTTCTCTAGAAAAGAAACAAAGCACCAACTAAATGAGGAAGACTGCTACTTCAAGACTGCAAACCACCATGGACACCTAGCTGTCTCTTTCCCTCTACATTAACTGCTGATAGGCCACACACACAAAAAAAATACAGAGGCTGATAAAATTTCCAAAACTATTGTAACATGAATCTGTGCAAACTATGAGCAACTCCAGGAGAGACAAACACAAGTAGGTCTCAGTGAGCACAAGAAACCAGAGCTGTCTAGTTCAGAGGAATGCTGGGGACCATAGATGGGGATAAATTGGGAAAAGACTTAAGTTGTAGCCTTCTTTCCCTGATACTGGCACGGGCCGATGATTGTTCACCAAGAAACCCTCATAAGGCAGAAAATCTTGAAATTCTACTAAAATTTGTGACAAGAAGTTTAACATTGTATGATGTTTCTGTAGCACATGAATATCACCAAAGTAACAGCCATCAGAACCAAAAACCAAACAGCTCAAAAAGTTCTTGCTAATAATATTACAATATCATTGACTTTTTTTTTTTTTTTTTTTGACAGGCAGAGTTATAGACAGTGAGAGAGAGAGAGAGAGAGAGAGAAAGTCTTCCTTCCATTGGCTCACTCCCCCAAATGGCCGCTACAGCCGGCACTGCACGGATCCGAAGCCAGGAGCCAGGTGTTTCTTCCTGGTCTCCCATGCAGGTGCAGGGGCCCAAGCACTTGGGCCATCCTCCTCTGCCCTCCTGGGTCACAGCAGAGAGCTGGACTGGAAGAGAAGCAACCGTGACTAGAACCTGGCACCATATGGGATGCCAGTGCCGCAGGTGGAGGATTAGCCAAGTGAGCCACGGTGCCAGCCCGAATATCATTGATTAAAAAAAAAACAAACAAAAAAAAAAAACTAATTTTCTCTTCCCAGAAAATCTCAATGTAACATTGATCAAAAACTCAAATCATAGTACTAAAAATACCTTCAAAGTACAGACATATGTTTAACATTATAAATATATTTGCATTAATATTTCTAAATATGCATATAAGTTGTTCAATTGAATATCTATTTCATGTGATAGGAAATTATAAAAATATAAGCACTGAGTAAAATTATGGGCATCTAATTACATAATTATATACAATGTGATACTATTCAGAATGGATATTCAAGATCTCTATTTAAAAAATCACTTTAAGACTAGAACTCAACTATAGGAGCTTTAGTCTTTGTCATTAAAATCTATTTCTAAGTATCCTATAACTAAATTTCCATGAAATTTTATTTTACCTTCCCAGTACATTATAAATTCCTAAACAGCAGAGATCATGACTTTGATCTCCACATAATACACACAGTACAGCACACATGCCTTCATACTAAGGCCTCAGTGGTATTCATTGATTTTGAATAAAAGAATCCTTACAAGTCACAAAAATCTCACTGAGGCTCAGAAAGTCAGGAGTCCATCTACCTTCTTCTCCATCTTGCTACTGAGTGAAAAGAGCAAAGAAAGTTTCTTAAGATAGTTGTTGCAACTTTTAATTAATTCCCAGTGTCTTTTGGATTTGTACATTTTTATCTTTTCTCTGAAGTAATTCTCCAATTAGTATTATTTCTTACTCTCCTAAGGGTCTTTTGATATTTTTCTAGGAAGGACAACTGTCAATGTATATAAAAAAAAAGCATAGATTTTTAGTTGTTAAAATATTAAAATTTTATTTCATATTATACTTAGGCCTAAATACAATTCACCATTAAAAGTTGTCCAAGGATTTCAAACGTCCACAAAACTGTAGTATGTGGAATATATACAAAGATAATCCATAAGAAAGTATCCTGATGAGCCTAAAACTTAGCATCAGATTAGACTAAATCCATGCAATTTCCTAAGTGCTCAATGTTACGTATTTCTTTAATAAAACTGCCAATATTTTCTATTTCCTTCTATAAAGCCAGATTTAATTGATAATTTTAACATCAAACCATAAACAGATAGTCCTAAGAAGATAAAAATCACCACTCATCTAGATTCAAGTTGTAGAAATATTTCAGTGATCGAGATGTACTTGACAAAAATAAGACCTTTCATGTAAAGCTGAAAAATAAAATTATCGGAGATGAGTAATAAATGAACACTCCATATATTATAAAAACATACATGAACAAGTTTTAGAATACTTGCTTAAAGATTCTAACAAAATAGAGGAGTCTTGCTGCTCACTTCCAGCAAGGCCTACATGCAGGAACCAGAGCAGATAACTGTTCTAACACTATGATCATTTTTAGTTCCAATTAATGATCCAAATAATTAAGCAGTTGCCAGAAAGGACAGTTAGGTCTCAACATTTAAAAAAGTCATTTAGTTCGGATGAATTAAAAAAAAAAATCAAAGAATATCAGTAAGATAGAATGGTTCGGGGGACCTGCACTGCGGTATAGGGTGGAAAGGCCGCCGCCTACAGTGCTGGCATCTCATATGGGCGTTGGTTCAAGTCTCAGCTTCTCCACTTCTGATCCAGCTCTCTGCTATGGCTTGGAAAAGCAGTAGAAGATGGCCCAAGTCCTTGGGCCCCTGCACTGGTGTGCAAGGAAGAAGCTCCTGGCTCCTGGCTTCAGATAGCGCACCTCTGGCCATTGTGGCCATTTGGGGAGTGAACTAGTGGATGGAAGACCTCTCTCTATCTCTCTCTCTCTGCCTCTGTCTCTCTGTAACTCTGCCTTTCAAATAAATAAATAAATCTTTAAAAAAAAAAGAATACTTAAAAAAAAACATATTCTTTTAAACAAGATTCCTCAATTCTTTTTGTGTACTATTCAATGTTTAAATTCCTAAACCATAAATAATTCATAAACAAGTTTATAGGTAAAAAAAAGTAAAGAAAGTAAAACTAAATGAAAATATTTCAAATGCATCACTTCATATTTTTAGAACATATATCAATGACAGTAATTCACATTGCTTACTCATCTGTCTATCTCCATAGCTGATGGCTTCCGCCAGAGGGCTCCATCCCTGAGCATTTTTCACCTTTACTGGAGCATTGTGAGCCAAAAGTAAATGGGCACATTCTGCAATACAAAGTAGTAATTATTTCAGACATCATGCAATTTTTATAATCGCCAAGTATAAATACATGTAAAAGTTTAATAAATTGAATTAATATAAATAAACCTGCAAAATAAATGCCGCACTATATATTATTAAACAAATTACTATGTATTTAACCAGGCTATATCAGATCCCAGATTCAAGAAGTAGCCATTCTACTACTTAAAATAAACCAGATCTCTTTGCAAAGAATGTATTATGTTTCATAATAATTATTCCCAAGAGTATTTTGAGAACATTTCTGTTGTCTAAAGACAACCCAGGATCCTCAAGGGTAATTTACTTCCAAACATCTAACATCTAATAAGATCCATAAGAATTTTATATGCCAGTAATGTCAAGCAGAAAACATTCAGGAAAAAGTGTTTTCAAAAACAATCAGTAATGTTTGCGTAAACCTTTATTTTTCAAATTTTAGAATTCATTTAACCCAGAAAAACACCAAAAAAAGGGCAAAACCCTCCTTACAATTACAAGGGATTATTTCTGCAATTATCAAAAAATGTTTTTAGCACAGCCCCTTCTGTAAGCTAACTTTTTTAAAAATTAAAAATACAAAGCACAATAGGCAACAAAAATTAAACTGAGACTCAAGAAATATAATTAGATAGTTATCCATTCATCCATTCAATCAATCAATCATTCAGCAAATATTTACCTATATACAATTTCTGACTATGAGGTACCAGATACAACCAATGAAAAATAAATCAATGGTCTTGCTATTAACTTACATTGTATGTTGGGAGACAACAAGTAAACCAATAAGCAAAAAGGAAAAATAAGCTCTTGAAACAAAGGTATTATGGCAGTGTAATGTGGCTAGACTAAGGTGAAGTAAGAATTGCATTATTTTAGCACTATTCCTAGTTTTAGAAGGAAAATCAGTCAGCATTGTGGCTCAGCAGGTTAAACTGCTGCCTTTGACCACTGGCACCCCATATCAGAGTGCCAGTTCAAGTCCTGGCTACTTGATTTCTCATCCAGCTCCCTGCTAATGTGCCTGAGAAAGCAATGGAAAATGGCCCAAGTGACACCCACATGGAACCCAGATGAAGTTCCAGGCTCCTGGCTTCAGCCTGGCCCAGCCCTGGCCATTACAGACATTTTGGGGAGTAAATCACTGAATGGAAAATTTCTTTAATTCTCTGTCTCTCCTCTGCTTTTGAAATAAATAAGTATTTTTAAAAAAGGATAACCTATAGGAGCAGGGAACTTAATTAGAAAAGTAAAATAAGCACAGCTATATCATAATTATGTTTTTAAAAGTCTGCTAATTGCATATAAGAATATATATACAAGAATTTTGGGGTGGGTGTTACGGCATATTAAGCAACGACTTAGAACACCAGCATCCCATATGGTAATGCCTAGGATTGAGTTCTACCACTCCTTCTCATCCAGCTTCCTGATAATGTACCTGGGAGGCAGCAGATGATGACCTAAGTGTGTGGGTCCCTGACACCCTTGTGGGAGACCCAAGTGGATTTCCTGGGTTCTACCTTTAGCCTCTCCCAGCCAAGGATACTGCAAGCATTTGGTAAATGAACCAGCAAATGGAAGATCTTTCTTCCTCTCTCTGTCACACTGCCTTTCAAATTAATAAATTAAATTTTTTCATGGAAAATGGAGTTAAAGGACAAGTTTATTTAAAAGAATGGATGTTTTGTTTAGTATTATTTGTGGTGGTAAATATACTGGAAACAAAGTAAATGTCCATGATGGGGTAATAATAGTCATGTTGCTCATTACTGGGTTAATATACAGCCATTGTGTAAAGAATAGAATCACATCAAAAGAACAGAGAAGACAGCTTGACTAGTTAGCCACTGGCCAAACTTGGAAACTCTGATTCAAAAAAGAATAATAACTAGTTGGTATTAATACAATGAAAAGTAATTGAAAACTCTGAAATATCAAAAGATAAAAGTGAAAGTTCTTCACTAGAGAATAATGTTATGCCAGATGACAAATATAAAAAACATAATAAAATTAGCAGATATGCAAATCACAACACATAAAGTAATAAAAGACATATATAAAAGTGTGTAAGGAATGTTAAATTCATGGGGTACAAGGCTATGTGTTGGAAAATAAGATATTCACATCGTACCAAGTTATCACCCCAAGATTATTTACTATTAAAAGCAGAAGAATGTTCCTTTATAGAGAACATACCTGGAAATCATGATCTGGAAGAAGTGGTCAAACTTAGCTGCATGAATAGTGGAAAAATTTAACATTATGTTTCCTGATGTGATGCAATATAAAGTTCATAGCATCTCCTATATTCTTTCCAGAAATGTTTTATCTGAATCTAATCAATGATCTATAGCTAATTTTTGATGCACAGAAAAGGTGGAGGACAAGAACAAGTTAAATAACATCATGAGAAGAAACTCAGGCAAATCCTAGATGGAAGACATTTTACAGATTAATGGGCAACAGTTTTCAAGAAGTCAGATCAAAGGAGATAAAAAGGGTAGGCAAACTGCTGCCAATTATCATAAAAAGACAGAAGTATTTGCAAGGAGTAACTTCAATTTGGTCTTATTTCAAAATAAAACAATTATAAAGGATGCTTTTGAATCAACAAAGTTGAATAATCCACTGAGTATGAGATGACATAACAATAATACTTTCTTCAGTGTCATAATGATAATGTGGATATAAAGAGGAATCTCCTTATTCATAGAGCTATGTGCTACAGGATTTAGGATTAAATGTCATGATGTCTACATTTAATTTTCAAAGATAGATAAAAAAATAGTATATGAAATACAAATATCATAGAATGTTAATAACTTTGAAGTTATAAGTATTCACTATAATAATCTTTCAGTTTTTCTGTATATTTAATATTTTTCATAATAAAATGTTGAAAAGGGAAGAAAAAAATTTGTAAATGTTCAAGAAAAAGAATTAGGGCTATTCCACTTAGAGCCAACAGACTTAAAGAAATTTTCACAAAGTATTTCTAATACAATTTATCTGCTAAACACAGAGGTATATTAAAAGCCCCCACCTTTTTTTTTTTAAGGGAATGACTACAAAACGATATAAATGGGTTTGTTTGAAACATACATATATATAAGTATTTATATATATAACAATAAGCATGGAGAAAAATATAGAAGAACACCCAGCATATTTTATAGCATTAGTTACCACATTTATTGGGAGAGGGGGTTAGTAAGTAGAGGGATGCACCAAGGTGTCATGTACCAATGCCATCTCACTAGTCAAAGTGATCAGTTTCGGTTTATAATTAATCATAATGATAGGACTAAGAGTCAAAGGGATCACTCAAACAAGACTAGTGTCTGCTAATACTAACTGATAGAACTAAAAAGGAGAGAATGATCCAACATGGGAAGTGGGATACACAGCAGACTCATAGAATGGCAGATGTCCTAAATAGCACTCTGGCCTCAGAATCAGCCCTTAAGGCATTTGGATCTGGATAAAAAGCCCATGAGAGTATTTCAGGCATGGAAAGCCAAGACACAGACACTGTGGCAAAAAATAAAAAAAAACACCTAAATGAAAGATCTCTGTGAGTGAGATCCCAGCAGAAAGAACAGGCCATCAAAGAAGGAGGTACCTTTCTCTGAAGGGAGGAGAGAATTTCCACTTTTACTATGATCTTGTCTAAATTTGATCAGAGTCGGCGAACTCAAAAGGCTTTCATAGCCTTGGCAACTCATGACAAGAGCCCTAGGGTGATTAATGACACCATAAACAAGAGTGTCAATTGTTAAGTCAACAACAGGAGTCACTGTGCACTTATTCCTCATGTAGGATCTCTGTCCTTAATGTGCTGTACTATGGGAATTAATGGTATAACTAGTACCCAAACAGTACTTTACTTTGTGTTTCTGTGTGGGTGCAAACTGTTGAAATCTTTACTTAGTATATACTAAATTGATCTTCTGTATATAAAGATAATTGAAAATGAATCTTGATGTGAAAGGGATGGGAGAGGGAGTGGGAGATGGGAGGGTTGCAGGTGGGAGGGAGATTATGGGGGGGGGGAGCCACTGTAATCCAAAGCTGTACTTTGGAAATTTATATTTATTAAATAAAAGTTTAAAAAAAAAGTAAGTAGAAGGGATGATAGCTACTTTGAAAATAACTAAGGAAAAAAGAAAAAAAAAACAAACAGATCCTCCTCCCTAAAAATCTACCATGCATTTTATGTAAATATGTTAGTAATATATATAAATACAAATTTTATATGAATGCAAACATGGGAGATACATACAGACTTCAAGGGCTACTTCATGAATTCTTTTGAGAAAAATATAGTGAAGTACGTATGTAGTGATTCTACTTCAGTGAATGCAAACTAATCCCCTGTGTGTTATAAGAAGTAAGGGGTGAATAAGAAGTGTTATATAAGAAATAAGGTGTGAAAGGATACACACTAGACTGTAAACGTTAGTTGCATCATAAAAAGAAGAGATGAAATTTTTATACATCTTTTTACTGTATTATTTCAATTGTCAACATTTGTGTCAGCATTAATAATAAAAAAATAAGAAATAACATCTTAATTTAAAAGTTAATTAAAAAGTGGTATGCATAACACCTAAACCACTATTGCAACTATGTAAACTAAGGTATATGATTATACTAAGATATATGATAAATAGAAGATTCATATATTATGCTAGACTTGTCACCAGTGTTTTCTGATATACCTAAGCACTGAAAAATGGATATCCTTTGCTCATTAGGCACAACTCAATTGAGGTAGAGATGAGCACCTAACAACAACAACAAAAAAAACAGGTGACCATAGATACTTCAATGAACTATGACATATTCATCTATGTTAGAAAAATGGAAAGGTTGGCCGGCGCCGCGGCTCACTAGGCTAATCCTCCGCCTAGCGGCGCCCGCACACTGGGTTCTAGTCCCGGTCGGGGCGCCGGATTCTGTCCCAGTTGCCCCTCTT